CTCCCTGAGTATATCAAGTTTTCACTACATTGCGTGTTAGAGAGGCAATCTATAGGGTTTCTTTTGAAAAAGTAAGTACATTTGAATAATAGCCAATAGAGATAAAACTATCATGTCAATATGTCTAGACACAGAAACTCGAAAGACGACATCAGATCACATCGATGCTAACCTTCTACATCATCTTGAGCTCAACATACACAATTGCACTGTTCCATCATCCTTTTCAAAAGCAAGCAAATCATCGCGGTCTATCTCCACGTTTACGAAGCGGACTTGACCAACATGGCCACGCAAATACTCATGAAAGAATCTTATATATTCATTTCGAATATGGCACACAGGGAAGAAGAACATAGTATGATGCGGCGTACGTTCAAAGAAGACATATTGAGTTTGACAATATATTGCACAGATACTGTCATTAGCAGGGACCAAGGGGGAAGGTGAGGGGAGAGTTCAGAAGAATTGTTAATGATTGCATGTCACTCGGTGGTGAGTGGTCTCGACCTCAAGTTTAAAGCTCTGATGAAGGCGAGTTGGCCGAAACGTTAACCTAATAAACGTTATATCAATCTTGGTGAAGGCTCAGACTTCACAAAGAATGGTTCCTTTGCCAGCACTCGTTTATGAGCGAAACTGAGCGAGTGGATTGCTTTCGCTTGTGAGTAAAAGGAGTACTTCTGAAAATTTTTAGGAATTCAAATTAGCTTTGTAAAACTTTTTTCCGGAGCGTGCACGCCTCCTTTTTTTAGTACTCTGGAAGTTTAGACCCGCTAAAATTTTGGAAAGCGTCCCAGGAATCTTTTCGGAAGGCCTGGGGAACGTTAGTCTCTTCACAAAATTTTTTGTTACCTCCTCATCCCCCGAAAAAAAATCGCTCCACCGCCACTGGCTGCCACCTATTACGGGTAATGTTTGCAACCATAAAGAAAGAAGCGTTAGGCAATTAAATATATTTGAGATCAGCGTTTAAAGCACCATCTTCGGTGACAGGGTGACTAGAGAGAGTTAACGCGCTTTGTGTTGGTAATTCTCCTCTATCAAATAGATCAAATCTCACCTCATATGACCTGATCGTAGAAGTGACGCTTCCCAGCTTTTACATGATGTGAGATTCATTTTGAGGCTTGTGCTTACCGCTTATTAGTCTCTTCCCTGGCTGCCTCTTCAATATGCACACTTCGAACGGTGCCGAGGATCATCGAGCAATGAAGTCAGCAGGACCTTTCAGCATGAAGAAAAAAATCGTCAGATCGTCCTGACTCGTCAACACTCGTAGACAGCAATCGTTAGAAAAAAGACTGCTCAAAGCGATTTAGGGTTGGGACCATAGGTGCGATAGTGTGAGAATTTTCTCATCCCCTCTTCACCCCTGAGCCGGGACCAAGGTGACCCCTTTCACCAAAAGCCGAGAAAAAAAATCAACAATGAGGTAAGGTTAAGCAAAGGAGATCTTTGTACGTGAATTGTTTATGTACAGGAATGGAGGAGTTTGTTGAAAAAAAAGTGCTTAGTGACGGGTGTGAGTAGTGATTTCTGGACATTTTGGAGTTTTTAACTTAAAAAAATTCATAACTTTTGTAGATGAACATCTTTTACGGCGAGATGATCAGCGTTGGAACCGTATCTCCTCCTCTTTCAGAAAATATATACTTTGCCTGGAGTCCGTTAAAAAAGTGCCTGTGTGAAGGGTGTCTTGGTGGTTAAGCAAAAGAGATCTTTGTACGTGAATTGTTTATGTACAGGAATGGAGGAGTCTGTTAAAAAAGTACCTGGTGAAGAGTGTGGGTAGTGATTTCTGAATATTTACGAGTTTTTAGGATCGAAAAATCCGTAACTTCTGAAGATAAACATCTTGTACGCCTTGATAGTCGTCATTGGAACCGTCTCGTCCTCCGCTTTCAGAAAATATATACTTTGCCTGGGGTCCATCAAAAAAAGTGCCTGGGTGAAGGGTGTCCTAGTGATTTCTGAAAATTTTCGAGTTTTTAACATAAAAAAATTCATAACTCTTGCAGATGAACATCTTGTACGCCGTGATAGTCGTCATTGGAACCGTCTCGTCCTCCGCTTTGAGAAAATACAGTCGCTTCATTTCATATGATCATGTGTGCCATTGCACACACAGTCCACTTTGGCGTCCTCATCCTGGATTTGCAATCGCAAAAACGCAAGAGACTTACCGATTGTCATCGATTACATCAACTTGAGGTTGTTAGTAACTAAAGAAGGAAAGAAAATACTAAGAACGCTTTGGAAACACTTACCTGAGGGCTTGTTTCTCCCACGAATCCAGGATGGGGACGCCAAAGGTGAATTGTGTGTGCAACGACACACCTGATCATTTGAAATGAAGCGACTGTATATACTTTGCCTGGGGTCCGTTATAAAAGGTGCTGAGTGAAGGGTGTGTGAAACTTTATAATGGGGGTGCTCAAGTAGACGTCTTTTTACAATGGTAAAAAAGCCTGTGCTTGAGCACTCTTATTATGTCTCACCCACCCTTCACCCGGCACTTTTTATAATGGACCCCAGGCAAAGTACATATTTTCCGAAAGCAGAGGACGAGACGGTTCCAATGACGACTATCACGGCGTACAAGATGTTCATCTGCAAGATTTATGAATTTTTTTATGTTAAAAACTCGTAAATATTCAAAAATCACTACCCACACTCTTTACCAGGCACTTTTTCAACAGACTCCAGGCAAACTATATATTCTCTAAAAGCGGAAGACAAGATTGTTTTAAAATCATTTTTCTTGCTGACGTTGCTTTTCATCTACAGAAATTACGAATTTCTTCTTTTGAAAACAAGTGTTCTCGCATGCACATCTTCTATGGTAATTCCAAAAACAGGCGGGGTGACGTAAAAAAGAAAAAGAAATGTTAAAAAAATACAAGGTGCTGGTGAGAAATATAATTGTATGCTAATCCAGCAGCACATCGGTTCACATTTCAGAAAAAAGATAACCAGTGATGGTAAGGAATAAATTATGAACTTTGACTAGGAAAAATGATGGGTGGGAAAACGCCATGGCTCCCCCCCCCCACTTCCGGTACATTTCATAATTTCTCTACCAAGTGAAGCGCCCTTCACCCTGGAGAGGCTGCGACCACTGTGATTCCCTTCACCCTGGAGGACTCATCCTCACCTTATCGCACCTGTGGTTGGGACCAGACCGCACGGCGTAGGCGACGCACCCGAAGAAATGGGACTCACGCTGTGCAATCTGGCTCCAACCTCAACTCGTTCTGGCTAATCTTTTTTCTGATTCTATTACAAAAAGCTTGTTTAAATCTTGCTGAACAGCTCAAAGCATTGCTAAATGCCCTTTTGGTCTTCTTTGCTGACAATAATTATCAACTGACGCCAAACTGATTCACCAGAAGATGCGCATGAAAACACTGCAGACCTTGTAAGCTCCGGGCAGAAGATGTGATGTTTTTTGATAAAGAAATTTTTGTTTAACGGAGAAAAAGAACGTGTAACAAAAATTACTCGTCAGCCTTACGTAAATCTTCTATGTGGGATTATTTGAAGGGGAGATGAGGTGCAAGTTAGTCATTTTTGAATGGCCCTGCAGCGAACTTCAGGAGGATGGGACGATATGGGCCAAGAGTACTTGTCATTACACTGATCCCTCGAATGAGAGCTTGTATAAGGGGCAAAAATGAAAGTTTCGAATCATCAATAATGGATGTTCTTTTCCCTCCACTAGATATCAGCACAAAAAAGCCTTTCTTACTTTTCAGCCATCGAGCCATATACCGAATCACCACTTTGATTGAACGAATTCCATTTCAAAAAAGTCCCCCACGCAAAGCAGCCGGAGCAATAGTCTCTTGGAAAAAATTTCTCAGTAAAACCTATATTTCCTTCTTGCTTTTGAACGCAAAGCTACGTTTTATCGTCGTGCCATTCTTCACGATCATCTGCGGCCGAAATGGTTTGAATGTTCCTTTCGAGATCTTTGACGTTTTTTTCGTCTTTTTTCTTCAGACATTGATTTAACATCTCTCTATTTTCAAGACATTGGTCTTATGCCAAATCTACCAAATACAAGTCCATGCATATAATACGCAGATAGACCTTGAACAGCTGTTATGGGACCTTTTGCCTTCTGATCAATGGCGTCTTCAATAGTCCCATATACAGGGTGTCCCAAAAAGATATGCACACTGTTTGATCGTTAATAACCCTCCTGCTTTCATGTCTTTTGCCGAGTTTGAGGCGCCTTTCCGTAGACCGAGGTTCAACTTAGATTTGCAGTGTGGAGCCAATGGTCGATTGCTCTTCATTATTGTAAAATTACGGTAGAAACTCGAGGTTGATTTTAAGCCATTGAAAGGTTTTTTGCCGGTTTTTGCCCCAGGAAGGAAACCAAACAAGCCAAAAACTCTTGTACTGGACTAGTCGAAGTCGTAGACTCTAAATATGAAATTTTCACTTCAGTATAGTGCTTCTTTCACAAACTATTTCAGATTTAGGGTAACAACTGTTTTTCCAATGTTCGTCAGAAATGTGAATACGCCATCAAAAAAGCTCGAAAACTCATGAAAGCTCATATAGTAAAATCAGCATGCTTGAAAACCTTGCCACACAATTTTCATATTTTTTAAAATTATTTCGTCGAAAAGCCTATTCCACAGTGACGCTGTATGCTGAAAGTTTATACCGTAATCCGTAATCCTACAGCAACGAGTAGCGATTAGTGATTTGCTTACTGTAAATCTAAGTTGGACCTCACTCTAAAGAATGGTACCTCAAGCTCGGCAAAAGACATGAAAGCAAGAAAGTTATTAACAATCAAACAGCGTGTCAATGTGTCAATCACACATTTTTTTGGCACACCCTGTAGAATCACTCTCATCAACCGTGTTGCTGCAGCCCTCTTTTTCAATTTCTCGACAATGTCTTGTGAGTCCGAAGTTCGAAGAGCACAGTTGAAAGTTGAGTAAAGAATTGATATAGATTTTCTAGATTTTTCCTTATAGCCAGAAGTTGATGATAAAAGGAAATCTGTTGGACGAATGCACAAGCGTGTCTCGACTTACTGTTGCTCTAGCAGCGAGAAAAGAGAGGAAGCATATTATGAGCTGTTTTGATTCTGCAAGGAAGGAAAGAAGTGAACAAAGAAAATGTGAGGAATAAATTATTTGATTAATGCAAGGTTTACTTTGCATATCATTTGAGATCGCTGTGAAATCGTGCAAAGTGCTTTTCAAAAGAGGGAAGGCTTTGTATTCACTCAACCTTTGCAAGCACCGTCTCCAACTACACGAGAATTTTAGGCAAATCATTGGGCCCAGTTCCTGAATGTTTTGGGAGCCTCTGTTTCGAAAGGAACAAAGCTTTCTCGGTTTAATCAGAAGATATTTGCGTGGAAAGTCGCCTTAATAAGCTGAAATCACATTCTCCTCCTTGGTGATTGCCGCCATAATCAACGAAGGTTTCTCTCAGTGAGTGTTTTCCAACTGCTTCCCTGTTTTGGGTGCGTTCGAATTTAGTGGAAAAAAGAAAAATGTTTAAAGGAAACTGATGTAAGCGGAGATTTTCACAGTGATGTGCCTTATGGAACGCCATTGGGCGTATAGAATAAATAAATAAAACAATAAATGTTTTATAGCCGCTTCTGCCGTCTAGATGTACATATGTTTGAATTTATCAATGCTTATTTATCGTAAAACATCGAAGATGCATTTTATTTTTGTTGTTTTAACAGCGTTGTCATTTTCCTGGCATTTTTCTACAATCAAAAACATTTGTATATGAAATGAAAAACCGTAAAATGTTCCACATAAATAGTCCTCAGTCTGCTGTGCACAGCAATTCCCTCTTGATTGATATTCGTTGTGCCTGCCTTAAGCTTTACCCGAAAATTTTATTTTATTGCTTACTTTGCTTACCCACATATCCTTGTGATACATGATTCTGTAGAAACGAAGCGTGCTACAAGAAGTAGTGCAGGTTTGAAAAATAGCAGCGCTGCACAAAAGTCAAATTACCTTGCCTTAGGTGAAGCTGTTAGAAAACTGCAACTTTAAATATAAAGTAGCAAAATCGTCCATCATTATGCGCATACTAATTTTCAGATCTTTGACAAGCGTAAAGTCTGGAAACACCCAGGCTAAAAGGCTTTTTTTTTGAATTTTTTCATTTCTACCAGCAGAATCCAATATTGCAGCAGTGCTGTAATTGTTATGATGTCGCATGATTTTTCACAGCTAAAAAAGTTTACAAAAATTGATCTACAATAGTAGTACATAAGCTGACCTTCTAACAGATCATGTCTTTTTCATGTCACCTCTACACCTTTTTTTCCAAGGTTTCGAAACCCACAAAAATTTCGGGAAGCATCCCAAAATAAACTATAAGTCCTCTTTTCTTGTAACCTGAGCATTTAGTTTATAACTTGGACAATTCTTCTATGCCGTACAGGTTTCTATTGGTGATACACTTTATTACTGCCTTACGTTTCGGTTAAACACTGTCTTCAGAGGCCTGGAAAGGAGTCAGTCACTTTCAACGCCACATTTCGAGAAATGTGGCGTTGCCTACCAAATTGAATGTATGAGCTGCTCTGCTATTTATATTGGAGAACCAGGTCGGCCGCTAAGCGTAAGGATAAGCGAGCATTTAGCCAGCAAAAAAACGACAGAGTATGGTGTCCCCTTTAGGTAAACACGGAAATGTAGAGCACAACGGTGACGATTACAACATCAAATGCAAGGTGGGTGGACTTTCACGCCCAGTCTCTCAATCTCCACCCGAGACGAATCGAATACGCGGGTGTGAAGAGGTTTTTGGCGACAAGGAAAGTAATATCAAACTGACTCCTTTCCAGGCCTCTGAAGACGGTGTTTAATCGAAACGTAAGGCAGTAATAAAGTGTGTTACCAATAAAAACTTGTACGGCATAGAAGGATTGTCCAAGTTATAAACATCCCAAAATAGTTTTAGACAAGTGAAAAAAATGTCGTCGTTCGGAAAATGGTGACTGAAATAAAATTTTGACCATTAGTGCTGCTACATTTGCGCTAAAATAAAATCAGAGTTCCAAAGGCTTTGGAATATAACTGTGTAATTGGGATCCAGGACTGCTAGAAGAAGAGTTTGGTTCGATTATTCTTTTTTCATATTTTAGCCATGGAAAAAACAGTGCAAGTGTTCATCACGATGCTTGCTTCTGTTTAAACGCACGAATAATGATTGAGAGATTCGTAGAATAACTTATGGCTAACAAGAGGGTCAAAAATGAAGTGGCCAATAAAACGCCATTGAATTGCAGCATAAAACGCTGATATCGAATCTGTATTTTATATCTGCTTAGCGACTATGTGGGCGAAGATATGAGCCGTTGAAAGCTGTTGTTGCGCTGAGAAATCGTGCAGGCAAAGCGCAAATTTGACAGTACACAGCCATGTTCTTCTAATCGCTGGGCTAAAACATGCAGCGAGGTGGTTTCAAATTCTTGAAGTTTAAAGGTGAGCTAGAAGTGCAACAATGTGCTCAAAAGGCGCTAAGCAGGTATGGAATACAGATTCAAAATTAGCATTGAATGCTGCATCGAATGGTAGGCAGTTTGCTTGGATTGGCTGCTTCAACCTTTCACCATTCCCTTGGAAGATCGACTTTTGAGGCAAATTCCCTTAATGTTTGAAAAATTCCTCAAAACACTGTTGATTGTGTGATAATCATCTAGTAGAGTTTGCTTTGATTGGTTTTAGATATATGCAGAGTCAACGGCATTGCCTTTGTATTTGCATAACTTCTTCTTGTTAGATTGCTTATTAATTATACATGTATTCATATCAATGATTATTAAAGCCCAGTTGTTTAGATGAACGCAACAGAAGTACGCATGTGGTATCTCCTTGCGGTAGGTGACTGGTATTTACTACGGCATATAACCTCTCAGTCATATATGTTTTCAGGCTCTTTTGTCTATAATCATTAGCATTGGTGGGTATTTCTCGCATGACTAAGAAGTACTTCAAGACGGTTGCTTTACAGAAACTAAGCCACAGATGTCACCATGGGGTGTTGATCCCTTGCAGTGGCTGGTGATGATTGGATAAGAGTCGCTGAAGAGTACAAGTGCATAAACGCTTTGCGTTACTATGTACCGCGTTCTTTTTGACATGATATGATAAAAGCGAGATGATGATTTTCCCAGACTGAAAACTTCATTTAATATTTGAGATTGCCCATCAGATCACTTTTCTTTTTCTATAGGTGCTAAATAACTTTGTGCTACCGAAGTGAAATCAACTGGTGTCACTTCAAACCTTTACTGGAAGATTTACTGATGGACATTCTGAAAGCCATAGAGGCTTACGCTGTTATGCGGAATGTATCAGAGGATCTCCATGATAGAAAGGTTTATGAATGCTTTTGAGTGAAAACTACTTGGTCAAGTGTATTATTTATCTTTTTAGGGCGTAACCCCTAACGTAATTTTGCAGAAAAAGCTTTGACCTCCTAAAACATTTTTATAACTTCGAACTCACGTAACTGATAAACATCAAGAGAAGGAATGCCTTGCTAGGTTTCTCTGCCTATAATTTTGAATGCTCTTAAAAGATGTCTTTGATGTACCTTCCATGTGCTCTCTTCTTTAAACCTGGGCATTTCGTGTTCTTTGTGAGTGATATTGTGCCGAACAGATTTTGTAGATTTTTATTGCCTGACGTGACGACAAGTATCGGCTTCTTCGGAGGCCTGAAAGAAATTGCAGTTTTGTATCTGTCTGCCTGCACGACCAAATGCCTCCTCAAGCTTGCGCGCCAGACCTTGTTTAGAATCAACGTGCTGGGATACAATCCAAAGTAACAGTTACCAACCTTCAATCCACCGCTAAGTCATTCAGCCCGCACGACTGTGACGAACATCACTGAGGATTGCCAGTGTGTCAAAGATGTATATAGTCTGCGGCTATGTCGACATAATGATACAAAGGGCAGAAGGTCACTTGTCATCGTCAAGCATTCATTTTTATTTTCAGCCCCGGATTTTTTTTACCACGTGATCAAGACGCATAAAGCAGCAGACCAGCAATTCCAGTCGATGTCACCTGAGTCATATAAAATTCGTCCTATAATAAGCTGCGTAGGCGCTCCCACTGATCAAATATCGTGGTTTCTCAATAAAATAGGCCAACTATTAACAAAGGTACCAGCACATTTGTCTAACACTCAAAGGCAGCGTCCAGGCAAATCCGAGCTCGACGACCACGCCCACTTCCCTCGGACGGCCAACCCCTTATGAACGAAATCTCCTCAGCCTTGACGTGTTTTCACATGACCAGCACAGTCGAACTTACAGCGTTTACCTGTTAATACTTGCTTTCGACAAGGATAAAATCAGAAGCACTCGTCGGGTTTTCCCAAAATAGCCCCAAAAGGTGGTCTGATGAGAAATTCACGCTGTTTGAGTTCCATATTCGCAATCAGCGCCATGGAAAGGCCTGATAACATAAAATATAGAAGTCGAGAATCTGCCTGGACGCTGTCTTCAACAATTTGTCAGGCAGCTGCGATGCATGAGTTTTGAACCTAGTAGTGTTGTCGAGTCATTCGACGTAACATCACTCTACACTAACGTTCATAACAATGCCGCTATACAAGCCATTTCGGAAATGTTAGACAAATACCATTCCACCATGGTTACCTTTGGGCTGAGCAAAGCGTGCATACTGACCCTTGTTAAAGAATGTTTGAGCTGTAACATCTTTAGGTGGTCTGGAAGTCACTACTTCCAGATTAGAGACTTGCGATGGGCCAAAGGTTCGCGCCTGTTCTGGCAATTTTTTTCATGAGTAAAATAGGAGCCAGTATTAGCACGCTTGCCATCAATGTACTGCCGCTACATCGATGACTGCTTCATTGTCACCTCTACACAATCCGAAATGGATGAAAGTTTTAGAATTCTAAATCAGCAGTTGCAGTACATAGAATTTACGCGAGAAACCCCGAATAGTGGCTGGCTTTCTTTTCTGAATACTCAGATTTGCTTGTCTGATGGTGCTGTTCGAATCAAATGGTACAGAAAAGAACGCTCTAAAAACATCCTTGTCCACGCCACGTCAGCGCATCCTACAGCTGAAGCTTCTGTCATCCGTAATATGTACAAAACCGCTGCATATGTCTGTACGGGCGAGAGCGAACGATTGGAGTCACAGCAACTAGCATTCGAAATTGCTCGCAGCAAGGGTTACATAGTTACGCCATTACGACAAAGATCTTCGGGATACGTAGATAAACTTTTGCGAAGCAATGACAACAGAATCCCTTTTGCATGCCTTTTGTGTCCGATAGATCTAGCAAGGCAATCAAACGATGCTTAACACGAGCGCAGTTGAACGATGAAGTAATGCTGGTCAACATTCCTAGCAGTAACATCAAACGGTTGATCAGAAATAGGTTGCATGACGTAGAGTGCCTAACGCTCAACTGCATCGTTTGCCCATACGGAAGCTTAGGCGATTATGCAAAGGAAGGCACTGTTTACCAGTTAGAATGCTTACGCTGTGGAGCGAGTTATATAGGGGAGACAGAAAGAAAACTCAGTATTAGAGTCACCTGGCCAGCAAAAAACGAGGGACAATGTCATCGCCGTTGGGGAAACATAGAGCTGAGGCACATAAAGGTGACGATTTCAACGTAAAATCACGGTACTAGCATATGAGACCGAAACCACGGCACGAAAGACCTTGGAGACAGCGTGGATATCCGCCGGAAATCCGGGGATGAACAATAAAAATGAATGCCTAACGATGACAAGTGACCTTCTGCTATTCGTATCATTATGTCGACTATAGCCGCAGACTATATATGTCTTTGACACACTGGGCCATACCTTCGATAGTCTAGAGACAGGGCGCCAAAAGTGAAGGTTGTTCGAACATCTGACGTCATAAATAGTGAAGGTTGTTTGAAGAAGATCAGAAAAGAAAAAATGACGTAAAATAGATATAAAAAGCAAGAGAAACTGCTGAAAACCAGATAAAAATGCTGCAATAAGGTTTGAAATCTTTCGTTTGGCGGCTTTTCAAAGCGCAAGTTTTCGCTTCAAGACCAGCAATTCGCAACACGGGGTTTTGATTTTTGATGCGTCCTTTGAATTTTTACCCTCGCGCCGTCCCTCTTGTACCCTGCGACGTTGTCTGGATTCTTCCGCTCATCATTCTGAGCAAGTATCGTCCAAGCTGGAGAAAATTCGTTGCGAAACCACTGAAAAAGAATAAGGTAAAGAAAAACGCATTTTTTGTAATTTTCACAAAAAAAAACGGCATAAGCAGAGAAATAAGCTCGGCGACGTTGTCTACATTATAGACAGAAACAAGACCTATCGACTACACAAAAAAACTGCGTGAAAAGAGTCAAACTAGGAGAAAAACGAGAGATTTTCGAAAACAAGGTTTTTGCCGGATTTCTCGTTTAAATCATAAAAAGGAGTCTTGCGACGTTGTCAGCGTGAAAATAGAGATCAAGAGCTTCAAAATGATATATAGCTTGCTAAAATTGGATTCGAAACAGCGAAGAAAAGGGTACCAGAGCCAAATGCCCCGCGCCCCGCGTTTGGGGTAGCGAGGTAGCGCGCAGCGTGCGGAGACGCAGACGAGCAACGGAGACAGACCAGAGCCGGCGGGGCATTTGGCTCTGGTCATTGATCTCCGCGGGGTCATAACAAAACCCTATAATATTATATATCGTTGTGATCCTCATGAGACGGCCAGGAGCACTGACAACGTCGCAAGTCTTGAAAATCACTCCATGACGAGATAGACCAGCATTTATGGGGCGACTCTCTGCGCAAGATTTCAGCGCAGTTTCTCGTTTTTATTGAATTCCAGCGGCTTTCGTGAACCTCCAACGCTCAATCGCAGTCTACAGAAAGGTTAATTGATAAGTTTCATCCTAATTTCTAACTTTTTGAAGAAAAACCTTCTTTCCAGCAAAAAAAAGGCCATAAAATGCGATCTTTCGGTTTTTTGAGCTTTTTCTGGATGTCACTACTATATTTGCCTCATTCACATTCATCCTTACATAGTTAGTCATTAGTTATATCATAATATCCGGGCTTCGCCCCGGATGACTTCTGTATTCCTCTCCAGGTGAAGGTTGTGTTCTCTCAAGACACTCAAAGTGAAGGTTACCAGAGTACGTGGCTCTATGTATCGAAGGTATGCACTGGGCAATCCTTAGTGATGTTCGTCACAGTCGTGGGAGCTGACTGACTCAGCGGTGGATCGAAGGTTGGTGACTGTTACTTCGGATTGTATCCCAGCACGTTGATTCTAGAGAAGGTCTGGCGCGCAAGCTTGAGGAGGCGTTTGTAGACAAAAAGACAGATACAAAACTGCAATCCCTTTCAGGCCTTCGAAGAAGGCGATACTTGTCGAAACGTCAGGCATTAAAGATCCACCATAAAAACGTGTTCGGCACAATATCACTCACAAGAAAAAATGTTTTTAATGTATTTGGAGTTGTCAAAAATCGCCCTTTATTATGAAGATCAAAATTTTGACTCTCTATCTACCCTGAGATCCGCTCCCGCGCTCATTATTTTAGACCACCCATGTTGAAGGGCGGGTCCACCTGACCGCTTATACTTTTTGGAGAGATTTTTGCTTCAAAACTCATTTTTTGCAACGGAAGTTGAGAGTTTACCTAGTTAGGGGCTCCGCTATAATTAGCATCAAAATATTAAGATCTTTAATCTGAGACGGCGTCATTAAGATCTTCACGGAAATGCTGGATCTGGAATATATATACCCACTGACGGTGACCCCTCATTTTGCGTGGCGGAACTGTGGGACGACGCGTTTCCATAGTCGTTTATTTCATGGTTTTTACGAGATAGGAAATGTTTTCCAAACTGTAAACATCTCCTTGGACGACGGAGTCCACATATTCCAAGACCCATAGACTACCCCGAGTGCGGAAAAAAGGGAAAAATATTATTTCTGAAAAGGAAATGTCTTAGCAAGAGGTGCAGTCCACCGTGGTTCACATCGTCAGAAAAGCGAAAATAGCAGAAAATATGGACCACTTCCGCATACATCGTCGTCAAAGAATTGAGAACAATACCAAAATTTAGTGCTTATGCGTTCAGGCTCTCGTATGCAGGAGAAGACCTTTTGTCGGTGGAGATTCCATCCTATTTTAGAAAGTG